AGCTGTTTGTCGGCTCAGCGTGGCAGCCATGTAAATGTAAATGAAGCCGCGATCATTTAAATCGCGGCTTCATTTGCCTTTGCCAAAACAACAAATCTACATGGCTCCGTCGACGGAGCCATGTAGTTTAGACGTACCCGGGGAGACCATCTGGGTAAGGATGGAGGGTGTGCTACTGGCTTTGGCCCTAGACTGTGAATCCTCTTCAGGCCAGAAGGTCAATATTTATGTCACAGCACAAGGAAGTGGATGCTGTGGACAAAGGAGGCTAGAAATAACATACCAGGCTGTACTGGTCCCTTCTCCATAATCTAAACCGGCCAGCTCTTTGTGTATAGGGCCATTTATCTTTCCCTTGCAAAACAGCCAAATTACTGAATATCTAAAGATGTGTTTACTTCCATTTATAGCTGCATCTGACAGGTCCTGGAGAGGCTAAGCAGTCCTACCCCAGAATCATCCCTGACTGAGCAACTTCAGAGGCTTTTACACCCAGCCTCCGGCAGGGCTGAGGGGATGGGGTCTTCTCGGCCAGCTGGGCCAGGTTAACCCCTTCGGACCCAGTGTCAATCTGATGCACACCCTCTCCTGTAAGTGAATATCTGCCTGTCTTTCTGGGAGAAAAATCCCACGTTAGCATGTGCCCTACCTGGCCAATGAGCGATGCTGAAATCATAGGGCTTTAGTGATAAGTACTACCTCATGATCTTTGGGTTGCTCTCCTGCATGCTGTGCAGCTAGATCAGTGAACTATAATGGTTACTGGGGGCCCATCTGACTATCCAGAGAGCCAAAATAAATGTTCTATAATGAATGTAAGAACAATCTTTTCCCAGGTAGTAGCAACAAGTTAATAACAGCAAGAAAGGGAAAGGCACCATGTCTGTGAAGCAAAGTCTCTCAAAAACTAAGGCATTTAATGCCGTAATATTCCCAGCCAAGCTTCATATCACTTAGAACAATGAGGGGGAAAAAAACAAAGCAAAATGTATTTAATCCCCCTGAGGAGGTCACAAAGTTTATCATGTCCAAAGGCATATAGGCTGGTACTAATTCTACAGAAAACAGCAGAGACTGTTCTTTTAGAAAATGATGTATCCTTTCTCCTTCTCTCAGGACTTTGTTTCTGCCTAATCAGATAAGAATGCTATCTAAACCAGTATATTTAAAGGTGACTTACAAATCAAAAATAGATTTGTGCCCAGGTTTGCTTCTTTAAGATCTATAAACAAAATGTGAAGGAGCGTCACTACCACTTCCTGCCCCCCAACCTCCTCAAACAATTTTTTTGTACGTTTTACCTTAGCAATTCAGGTCTTCTCTATTTTGAATGACTCTGACTGGGATTTTCAAGTGTGCCCAATGCAGGCCTAATTTTACTCCAACCGAAATAAATTTCAGAGTGAACACTTTTGAAAAATCTCACTCTGGACCACTGGAGAGCTGGGACACTTAATATTATTACAGAAACCATCAGGCAAGTAAAGCCTGATGAAATAGGGATAGGAACAGTTCCTTATTCAGATTTATTTTGTTTATATCTTTTTGACTCAAACAATGGGGAAAATAGCTTGTTAAAATGTCATCACCCACTGCTCCTTTGATAAAGGCTTGAGAAAACTCCTCCCTACCACACAATTTTTAAAAAGTAAACTAAATCTGTCAAGCCTTTTTCAAACATTTAAAAAAATAAAAAAGGGGCACAAAGCTATTTTTTTTTAAAATTAAGCTTCAACTTCAGATATCACAGTTTCTGAGGCTGGGCTAATTTTTGATCCAATCCGGAAGGCACTTAAAAGCCCCCAGTTAGTCAGCATGCAATTGCAAATCAACAAGAGCATGTCACATAATGGCTTTCTAGTCCGTTTCAAGCTCATTCAGAATCCCAACACCTGGCTTCCTAGGTGAAAAGGGACTAAGGCAGTGCTACTCAGACCTCAGTGATTGAGAAGCCACATTACCAATTAACTGTGTTCAAGAGCCACAGTCGTGTGCATTCACTATTTCATTTATTCATTTTATATATATTATTCATATTCTCACAGCAAAATGGCTGACCAAGTATTTTATCAACTGCAATTGGTTGATAAAAGCATCCTGATTTGTTAATAACTGAAATTGGTTAATAGTTAAATCACACAACTGTTTTAATATCACGTGCTATAGAAAGCTAGAGGTACTTCTTCTCCTGGTATCTATATCTATATATTTTGGTTTCTGGTGTTTTAATATCATGTGCTATAGAAAGCTAGAGGTACTTCTCCTGGTATCTATATCTATATATTTTGGTTTCTGTTATTTTCACTCCAGTTCATCTGGTGAAGTGGATTTTATCCATGAAAGCTCATGATCTCTATATTTGTGTTAGTCTCTCAGGTGCCCTCAGGACCACTCTTTGTTTTTAAGTTTACAGACTAACATGGCTACCCCTCTGAGATTTTAGAAGACACATGAGACAGCCATTTGCAGCCTGTGAGTCTGAGTATCACAGGGCGAAGGCACAGAAGGCAATGAGACCACCTCTTGTTAATGTGTTACTCCATCAGTTGGTTCTGATGGGAACATTGAGGCGAATGGTTTAAACTTTATGGGGACAGAGTGATCTTAGTGGCAGGTCCTCTGCTGTGGAACTCACTGCAGCTGAAGAGAAAAATGAACCGGAGTCTTTCCAGCCTTATTCTTCATTCTCAGTATAGGTGAGGCTCTTTCCAAACACTTAAATGGGGTGGTCTCTGCTGTGAGGAGCTCACAGTCTCATGCGGAGGTGGATTAGCCTTTGTGGGCCTCAGCACCTGGACTGTGACCCCACCCTCAAACTCTGAGGTCCCAGCTGCAGCTGCAACTCACTCTGGGATGGGATGGGATGGAGAGGAGTGAGCAGGTTGGGGGGAGACAGAGAAGAGTGAGTGGAGTGTGGGGAACTTTGGGAAGGGAAGAAGCTGAGCAGGGGCAGAGCCTCAGGGTGGAGTGCAA